AAATATATACTAATTATGAAATAAAAATAAGTAAACTAAATAAATAAACAATATTACATTCTTGTTTAATCAAACTTTTATTCTCATTAATGTTATTTTTATATTAATTCACTTGATTTAAATTTAATTATTTTTATATATTAAATAATTATTTACTAAATGAATAAATATATTAAATATATATTATATAAATAAAGATATTAAATAATACAATATTATTTATTTATAAAAATAATAAATAATAAAATAAATACTAAATATAGTAAATAAATAAATAATACAATAAATTAAAATTAAATAAAATATATAATTAAAAACTAAATAACATATAATATTTTTTATTTATTTTGTTTTAGTTCATAATTTAATATGTTAAATAAAATAAAATTTAATATATTTATTTCATAAAATTTAATTAATTTGATAGATTATTTATTTAATATAATATATGATATTTAATATTTTATTTATTTATTTAACAAAAATTAATTTATTTAATATATTGTTTATTTAATATAATATTACTTTATTTAATATATTAAATTACGAACTAAATATAATTTATTTATTTAATAATATTTATAAATATAATAAAATATAATTTTTTTAATATATTATTTATTTAATATAATATATAATGTTTATGTTATTTGTTATATTAAATTACGATAAAAAACTAAATAAAAAATATTATTCATTATTTTAGTTTTTAAAATAAATAATATTTGTTTTATTTAATATATTATTTATTTAATATATTATTTATTTAATATAGTATTTATTTATTTAATAAAATTTAATTTATTTAATATATACTATTTACTTTATTTAACATATTAAATTACGAACTAAAACTAAATAAGTAAAAATATAATTTATTTATTTAATAATATTTCATATTTAAAATAATATTTATTTATTTAATAAAAATTTATTTATTTAATATATTATTTATTTATTATAATATATAATATTTAACAAATAAATTTGTATATATTTAATAAATAAATTATTTATATGTATTATAATTAAAAGTTGCATAAATTTTATATAATATAGATAAAATGATGTTGGTATATATATAAATGAAGTCCCATACTTAACATAAGCTGGGTTGGATCAAGTGGCTCATAAGCCTATCTTATATACTAGAGGTACAAGGTTCAATTCCTCTTCTTGCATTATTTTTGCAAATTTTACAATTCTGCCACATGTGCACGATTTGCCACCTGGGCGCTGACTCGGATGTCCGTTTGGTGTGTCAAAAGCCACGTAGGATTTCTGTTAACGGAAGATAACGGCAGTTAAAACCATGTATCGGGTTGCCAAAAATGTAAAGGTCATGTATTTATTTGCCAAGGTCTAAAGGTGGTGATTAAATGGCCAAACACGTAAAGGTCGTGTATTTTCCCGCCATTAAGCCTTATAATAATCATATTATTATTATTTTGGTTTGGAAATTTAAAATCCAATTTTAAATTCCAACATATTAATTTAGTAATTACCTTAATTACTAAAGTAATATCCAAAATGTAATTAATCAATCTTATTGATTAATATATTCCTTTTAATTGATATCTAATCAAATTAGATTATGTCAATTAATTCTAACTCTTTAGAAATACAATTTTTCACCTTTGTTCATAATAGGTGTGACCTTTTAGGTTCACCTTAATACTAGTAGTGGGTTTACAACTCTTTGTAATTTGAGTTAATCACATTAACTCTTATTCATGAATTAACCCTTTAATTCAAGAACCCACATATCATGGGAACACCTAGCAAGTAGCATGAATCTAGTACTAAGTGAATAGCGAGTAAACCTATTCCGATTACAACTCCATACATGTAAAAATCCTTTCGACATCTAATTTCCCGATTAGGTCTTGGGTATGATTTTGTCGAAACCCAAATTGACTTAATAACTATGATTCTATTTCAAGTTTATTAACCCTGTTATGAATCACTATTCATCTCTGCCTTGGCCAAGGACTTTGGATTAATAACTATGAAACACATAGGAAATTCACTTATCTTCATAAGTGTCGAATCCTTTATTGGCCACTAACAAACTTCCATACATATTAACATAATACCCAACTTATCCCTTTAAACGATAGTGCTAGCTACCAAAAGGATAAATCAAAGTAAAATGTAATATGCACAAAGTTACCATTGTGCCTCAAGTCTTAGGATTAGTCATGTACTATTGTAACATGAAAATTCTTATTCGACTGAATAAATTCTTCATTAAGAATTTTCATACGGTCATGTTCAGTGAACTTGTTCTATAACAAGCACTCACATAAATGTACTTACGTCTTACGCTAATGTTGATGGAATGCAACATTCTTGTCCAACAAGCATACAAACTATGTGCAAGTCTTTTATGAATTATTCGATATCCCATCTCGAAACATCCATCGACTTGGAACTGTATTTAAGATCACGGCTTTCAAGGTATGTTCCATGATCACCATCTCTATGCGCAACCATACCTTATAACCATAAGTGATCTAGGGATTTTATCTTAAGTGCAATTATAAGATAAATGCTTTCTCTTAAGATAAAGAAATGCCTTATTCATAATATAATTCCAATAGACTGTATTTACAAGTAGAATACGTCCAATTAGATTGGAACGCCGGGTACCCTACTCTAACAATCTCCCACTTGCCCTAGTTCCAATCACTCATGTATCTAAGACCCATCTTCTCAAGATGTCCTTCGAACACTTTCTGTGATAAGGGTTTAGTTAAGGGGTCTGCTATATTTTCTGCTGAGTCGACTCGCTCCATCACGACATCGCCTCTACCAATGATTTCTCTAATCAAATGGTATCGCCTCATAATGTGTTTGGATTTTTGATGAGATCTTGGCTCCTTTGCTTGCGCAATAGCCCCATTGTTATCACAATAAATCATTATTGGATCAACAACGGATGGTACTACACCCAACCCTTGGATAAAGTTCCTTATCCAAACAGCTTCTTTTGCAGCATCAGATGCAGCAATATATTCAGCCTCTGTCGTAGAGTCAGCAATTGTTTCTTGTTTGGAACTTTTCCAACTAACTGCTGCTCCATTCAGAGTAAATAAGTATCCAGACATGGATTTATAGTCGTCTTTATCGGACTGAAAACCAGAATCAGTAAAGCCTTCTAGTTTCAGTTCTCCATTGCCGTATACCATAAAGATATCCTTAGTCCTTCGTAAGTACTTAAGAATCATCTTAACGGCTTTCCAGTGTTCTTCACCTGGATTAGACTGATATCTGCTCGTTACACTAAGTGCATGAGCCACATCAGGTCTTGTACATAACATTGCATACATAATGCTACCAATAGCTGATGCATAAGGTATATGACTCATCCGTTCTCTTTCTTCAGGTGTCTTTGGAGACATCGTCTTAGAAAGAGAAATCCCATGACTCATTGGAATATATCCTCGTTTGGATTCTTCCATGCTAAACCGTTGTAGCACCTTATTTATGTACGTCGACTGGGATAGTCCGATCATCCGTTTAAATCTATCCCTATAGATTTTTATCCCTAGGATAAAGGATGCTTCTCCCAAGTCTTTCATGGAAAACTGTTTTGACAACCATGTCCTAGTTGACTGCAACATCCCTACATCATTCCCAATGAGTAGGATGTCATCAACATATAGAACAACAAATGTAACTGCACTCCCACTAACCTTCTTATAAACACATGGTTCATCCGGATTCTTATGAAAATCAAACGTTTTGATCGTTTCATCAAACCGAATATTCCAACTCCTCGAAGCTTGTTTAAGTCCATAAATAGACCTTTGAAGTTTACAAACCATTTGTTCACTCCCATTGGATATGAAACCTTGCGGTTGTTTCATATAAATGTCTTCCTTAATATTTCCATTAAGAAAAGCAGTTTTCACATCCATTTGCCATATCTCGTAGTCATAATACGCAGCTATGACTAGCAATATCCGAATAGATTTAAGCATTGCTACTGGTGAAAAAGTTTCCTCATAATCAACACCTTGTTTTTTAGTATAACCTTTAGCAACCAGTCTTGCTTTAAAAGTATTTACTTCTCCATCTACACCACGTTTTCGCTTGTAAACCCATTTACAACCTATGGGTACAATACCGCTTGGAAATGTCCGGTCGGCTCGCGACCGGCCGCCGGTTCCGGACGCACGGAACCGGACACAGAGAAGGCCGTCCGGTTCGGCCGGCCGGACGGTTTTTGGTCCGTCCGGAACCGACGACCGAACAGACGCCGGCCGTCCGGAACCGACGGCCGGACGGCCGGCTAGGTTAAAAAAAAAAATTTTTTAAAATAGTTCCGGCCCAAAAAAAAATAAAAATTTACCTTGTTTGCCGTACAATTTTTTCGATATTTTTTTGGATTTTTTTTTGATGCTCGAATCGACCGTTGAAGTTCGGAAGTTTAGAGAGATAAAAAGTTTAGAGAGATGAAATAAAAAAAAAGATTAAGGGCAAAAGAGTAAATAGGAGGGCGGTGACTAGTAAAAACGGGCGGTGAAGAGCAGTTAAAGTTAATTTATTTTGTGTCTTGTGTTTTGCCATTGACAAATGGGTGTTGTCCCTAGGTTCTAATAGGCCTTATTGATTCGACGACCCATCCACTTGGTGTAACTTTTACTTTTTGTTTGATATGAGGGCAAATTAGGCAGTACAATTTGCACAAACAATTTGCTCTCTAGGTATATCATGAGGGAAAAAGAATTTTTTTTTTTCGCTAAAAAGATTCGACGAATTTCTGTGGAGCCCTTCATCATCTTATTATTTGAAAACCCAAAAAGATCTGCCTTTTGAAAATAACACATTTCACGAGACTAAAAAAACCACTTCCACGCCAATTTCGAGAGCTATCAGCACAATAAAGTGATAAACAGCATGCATGCACCTACAAATTCAACACTTTGCCCGAAAAGGTGTACAAATAAAAGATTCTCGTGTATGTATTGCTCTCTCTTTCAATCTATATATAGTGTTTTTTTTTTTTTTTCAATCTATATAGTTTACCTTTTTGTTTTGTCCGTCTGAAATTGCAAAAGGTAACTTCGGACCACTCTGTATAGTGTATGCTCCTAGGCTAGGAAGACTATACCTCGTTACCAGTGCACATTTATTGGCAGATGGAATAATTGTCCAAAAAGTCCTCCTTTTTTGCGGGTTTTCATTTTTTGGGTTGGCCGGGGTTCCTTTACGCTTTCCTTTTTTTTTCCCTCATATTCTCATAAAACACTGAAAATCAGGATTTTCTTTTCAAACTTTTCTGTTGCTATCGATGGATGCTTTGGCAATCAGTTCTCAACCCATTTCATATGATTTTCGGGTGAGTTTGTTTGATTTTTTTTTTCACCTGGTTCTTGTTTTTATTTTTATTTGTTTTTCATATCTGTAGACTTTACTGATTTCATGATTGTCTTTTTGTTCTTTCTTTCCCATTGGTTTATGTTTAGATTCAGTTCATTGATGAGAAAATTATACTGATGATGGCAAAAGAAAATATTTTAGTCGGTTTATTTTATTTTATTTTTATTTTTATTTTTTTGTAGCATTTATTCTTGTGCTTCTTACTTCTTCTGTAAAGAGCGTTTCTTTTTGTGGTCTGGCAATAGCTGTGTAATATGCAAGATCAGCAATCATTGTTTATTCATTTTTAGTGCTCGGAAAAAAGGTAAACTTGTATATGTAAGAGAATCTACATATCCTTAAAAATTATTTGGTATAAAATCCCCTTTATTTTCTGAATAATTAGGAAGTAGATGCCGTAAAGTTTGCTCAAATGCTTGTTAGCAGGATAGCCTAAACATTTCCAACCACTACATATTAAATTTGTCCAAAAAATCGAAATTTCTTGTCTACTGAACAAATCTGAGATTTCTGCATTACTTACAGTTTCCATTTTTCTAGTATCTTAGAAAGCGCATGCTTTATTTTTGGGGACTTGATATCAGATTCTATAATTCATCTTGATCACTGAGTTTATCCTTTATGTGGGTTTGATGAAGTGCTTTTGGTGGCATGAAATTGTTTGGGATGGTTTAGTGATTGGGAAGACGATAGAAATCATGATTTTATTTTTCAAAAAGATAGGTAGGGCTCTTGTTAGTTATGCTGCAGTGTTTTAGACAATTGGATAGATAAGCTCTTGTTATTTTTAGTTGTATGTTTAACTTTTAATCATTGTGATCAAGTTGTTAAGATGTTTGCCTTAGAGACTTTAACAGCATTAACATGTTGAGGTATTATTAAACTTCACTTTAACCGTGCCTTGTGCAGAAAGAAACATGGAAGCATACACTCGTGCTTTCGTTTCAAAGCCTTGGTGTTATATACGGTCGTTTGAGCACAGCTCCTTTGTATGTACTCGAATCAATTGATCCAGCGGATATAAAATCGCCAGACGAGATACATGAACTCTTCTCGTTTATTTTTTGGACTCTAACTATCATCCCATTACTCAAGTATGCTTTTATTGTGTTGAGAGCTGACGATGAGGGAGAAGGTAAGAACTGATATTCCTGACAAGTGTTTCGGGTTATTCGATTATCTGTTGAAATTAATTGCAAAAACTGCTGGAGAATAAAAATCTGATGTGGTTATTTGGTACATATTTGGAATGATGTAATTTCTGAAGAATGACTATAGTTTATTGTCGTTAGACGAAATTCAGGATAATTTTTTTTCTATTTGTAATGCAAATCTCAAAAATGAAAAATATTGAATTTCTTGCAGGTGGTCCATTTTCGTTATACTCGTTACTATGTAGGCATGCCTCGGTGGGTTTGATTCCTTCAAGTAGAAGTTTAGGCAAGATTGAGCATGATTGTGAAGAAGGCTCTTCCAAAGGAAAACTCGAAACGAAGGCTAGACGAGCTATAGAAAAACACAAAAGCAGTCACTATTTACTGCTTGTCCTGGCTTTGCTTGGTGCTTGCATGATATTATGTGATGCGGTTCTTACGCCAGCGATTTCTGGTTTGTAAAACTATACTTTT